CAGACCGCAGAAGCTTACAACCACACAAGGCACCAGTGTCATTTCTTATCATATTCCGTCTTACTGCACTAATCATGTACATACCACTTCCAACTTACTTTAATTTTTTTGCCTTTTCTTTTGCTTTCTTTCCTTTCGACAAAATTTCTTTTCCTTACTATTCCTATTTTCAAACCTTCGCATTCACTCATTGCTATTGTGCCAAGCCATCCTACTTTTGTATATCGAAGCTTGCTGGTTTCCCACCAACCTTCTAGGGGGGGGATAACCTGTAGTGCACATTGTACCTTTGAACTTTTGTTTAAACCGACTCACCCACGGTGATCCACGTTTTACCTTTTTGAGTTGTGAGTCTTCCGTACGTTCATTGGTTCGCTCTCTTGTTGTGCTCTCTTTCTGCACACTCTCCGAGCCTACCTCCAGTAACGTCTGCAGATAAGTTGTATAGTCACTTTATTTATTAAATCTGTTATGTAGTTACGTTAAATACAACTCATACTAAGAATTCTTTCCATTGTTAGCTTTTAAACTTTGATTGAGTTAATCAGTACTTACACGTTAGGTAGAGTACTCGTAAAGTCATAAGACGGTGAAGTTGTTAGTAAGTGTGGTGATATCGAAGACTATCTTAAGTCTAACCTCAACACTTACACCATAATCTAAATATTAGGAGTCTCGATTGTTGGATGAGAAATCTGTTAAGATCTGAATTTTTGTATGTGTAACGTAAGCACGAGTCTAGAAGGCCGAAATTAAAAACCTTTATGTTGGAAGATAACCCAATATGACTTCAAATTGCTTCTCATTTAGTGGATCAATACCAAAATGTCCATATACTTTTAATAGTCTACTATGAGGTCACTCTTCATGGCGGAATTTCGGTAGTTTTGGAACGTGGGATAGGTCTGGTCATTTTGATTTGTTTCCTTACCTTGGTAAGACACCATTTACAAGACATTGCAGCTTGTGTTTAAAGTCGATTTATTTTATCGAAACATTTCTTAGCTTGATCCACGTTCTATCCAGTTGTCATATTTCTCGAGACTTAATGTCTGGAACTCGTTCAAATCCACATTCAATGCGCCACTGAATCGAAGTGAAGCTGTTATCAAGCTCACAACTTGGTCAATCAGACGATTCAAGTTCGTGTGTGACGGTCGATCAATGGTCAGATTTCGACGGCATATCTCGTAAATCGCCTCGTTGTCCACCATGAGAGCACAATTGTGCTTGAGACTGAAGGAGTCCCCATCACTTTGTGCAAATATTAATTAGAATATTTTCGTTTTGGTATGTATGACTTAAAGGATAGTCTTTACACTAGATGCACCCAAAATGCATCAAGAGGAAGAAACCAGCTCCTACCGAAAAGTGAGAATTTAACACTGTTTCAACAATCTGAAGTGATAATATTGAACTGGGAATGTCGATGAAGAAGACACCATATATAAAACAGCGTAATTTAACTTGCCAATAAGTAGAGACTAACTCCGCCATCAGAAAGACGTAAGACCGTATACCGTTCATTATCCTAACTGACTATCCCCCGACTTAAATTTCACTTCATATCTTTTTGGTTTATCCTCATGATATATGCTAAAAAGTTAAAGTACCTTCCAAATAATCAATGTCTCGCGATAAGAAATACAATCAAACTAGATTACTGCGAATGGGAAATAATAAAACATTCTAAGGACTTTCCACTGGGATCATGTGAAGATACTAGCTACGGCAAAAACGGACGTTATCTCACAATTTACAGAATTTGAAATTTTTCATTGTGCTAAAAAATTAGCGGCATTCTAAGTAAGATGTTACTTTGCCTTAGTGCTTGATCTGACAATAAGAAACCAAAGGATTAAGTGCATTGACCAATTTACTTACTTATACAATGTGATCATTCCAGAAGAGCCGAAAAATCCAGATTAGCTAGAGGAAATATGATACAAAATGTATTTATTCAGGATATGGTGGCACCAAACAAAATGCAACACCATTGCATATTGTCCAAGGAATTGATTTAGCGTGAAACCTTAATGCAGCATCTAAATGCACTTAACGGAGTCATAAAGAAACTTACGTTCAATGAGCCCTTACATTGTACTAGTATCATCGAAATTGAAGCCGACCTATAATTACTAAAACAGTGATCATGCATATCATATCATTCACCGTACTGCTTTTCTATATTTACAAATATATTCACGTTAAGTTGCAGAAGCTACCTGCAAAAAATAACCCAGCTAGCATTATTTCCGGGTGCACTGCAGACTCTGGGACAAAAAACTTAGGGAGCATAAAAATACGTGGGACAATGTCCCTAAGCCTGTCCTTAAAAGTCTGGAATGCACTCTACATCTGCCCCGAAAAATCTGCAAAGCACCCGAAAAAAGTGCTAGCTGGGAACTGCTGTGGTAAATTTAGAAAATCCTTGACTCAATCCTTTATCACAAATTAGTTACTCATGATAATAAATAGCCTCAAGACTTTGACACTTGCCCACCCTAATGAATAAACAGAACTTCTAACATTGCAGATTAGTAAGTACTGTGATTCAGATAACTAGTCCGTTAGTCACCCATTGATCCAAATGCGCAAGCTTTTGTATACGTGGTTGGTGTTGCATGATATTCCTATGAAATGGTGAGAATGAAGAGGCTTCTGGAAAACAGTGGCCATATATGGTACTCAGTCACAACTGAAATATCAGCATATCGTACAGTATGTATTTAAAGGGATTTGTACATTTATTAAGGAGCCAGAGAATCACGAATTTACATAGGAGTACAGATAAAAGCGTCCTAGTTTTTTTCTGCATTATATCGATTAAGTCCGTTGGCCCTAAGTTCATGTCACGGGCTCGAAGAAAACCATAAAACCAATTTGACTTGGCGTGACGTGACTGTACTTGTCGAAAGCGGTTGTCAGCAAGCATCATGCGTGAATGTATTAGTCTTCATGTTGGTCAAGCGGGTGTCCAGATGGGCGATTCGTGTTGGGAGTTCTATTGTCAGACAATACAACTCCCAACACGAATCGCCCATCTGGACACCCGCTTGACCAACATGAAGACTAATACATTCACGCATGATGCTTGCTGACAACCGCTTTCGACAAGTACAGTCACGTCACGCCAAGTCAAATTGGTTTTATGGTTTTCTTAGAGCCCGTGACATGAACTTAGGGCCAACGGACTTAATCGATATAATGCAGAAAAAAACTAGGACGCTTTTATCTGTACTCCTATGTAAATTCGTGATTCTCTGGCTCCTTAATAAATGTACAAATCCCTTTAAATACATACTGTACGATATGCTGATATTTCAGTTGTGACTGAGTACCATATATGGCCACTGTTTTCCAGAAGCCTCTTCATTCTCACCATTTCATAGGAATATCATGCAACACCAACCACGTATACAAAAGCTTGCGCATTTGGATCAATGGGTGACTAACGGACTAGTTATCTGAATCACAGTACTTACTAATCTGCAATGTTAGAAGTTCTGTTTATTCATTAGGGTGGGCAAGTGTCAAAGTCTTGAGGCTATTTATTATCATGAGTAACTAATTTGTGATAAAGGATTGAGTCAAGGATTTTCTAAATTTACCACAGCAGTTCCCAGCTAGCACTTTTTTCGGGTGCTTTGCAGATTTTTCGGGGCAGATGTAGAGTGCATTCCAGACTTTTAAGGACAGGCTTAGGGACATTGTCCCACGTATTTTTATGCTCCCTAAGTTTTTTGTCCCAGAGTCTGCAGTGCACCCGGAAATAATGCTAGCTGGGTTATTTTTTGCAGGTAGCTTCTGCAACTTAACGTGAATATATTTGTAAATATAGAAAAGCAGTACGGTGAATGATATGATATGCATGATCACTGTTTTAGTAATTATAGGTCGGCTTCAATTTCGATGATACTAGTACAATGTAAGGGCTCATTGAACGTAAGTTTCTTTATGACTCCGTTAAGTGCATTTAGATGCTGCATTAAGGTTTCACGCTAAATCAATTCCTTGGACAATATGCAATGGTGTTGCATTTTGTTTGGTGCCACCATATCCTGAATAAATACATTTTGTATCATATTTCCTCTAGCTAATCTGGATTTTTCGGCTCTTCTGGAATGATCACATTGTATAAGTAAGTAAATTGGTCAATGCACTTAATCCTTTGGTTTCTTATTGTCAGATCAAGCACTAAGGCAAAGTAACATCTTACTTAGAATGCCGCTAATTTTTTAGCACAATGAAAAATTTCAAATTCTGTAAATTGTGAGATAACGTCCGTTTTTGCCGTAGCTAGTATCTTCACATGATCCCAGTGGAAAGTCCTTAGAATGTTTTATTATTTCCCATTCGCAGTAATCTAGTTTGATTGTATTTCTTATCGCGAGACATTGATTATTTGGAAGGTACTTTAACTTTTTAGCATATATCATGAGGATAAACCAAAAAGATATGAAGTGAAATTTAAGTCGGGGGATAGTCAGTTAGGATAATGAACGGTATACGGTCTTACGTCTTTCTGATGGCGGAGTTAGTCTCTACTTATTGGCAAGTTAAATTACGCTGTTTTATATATGGTGTCTTCTTCATCGACATTCCCAGTTCAATATTATCACTTCAGATTGTTGAAACAGTGTTAAATTCTCACTTTTCGGTAGGAGCTGGTTTCTTCCTCTTGATGCATTTTGGGTGCATCTAGTGTAAAGACTATCCTTTAAGTCATACATACCAAAACGAAAATATTCTAATTAATATTTGCACAAAGTGATGGGGACTCTTTCATTCTCAAATATTCTATATTCGTAACAATTTGAGTGTTTTATTTACATACGATGATACATGTTATTGCGAAAAGGCATTTTAACCCACTTTGATGATTACATTCAGCAGAATGATTTAGTGATTTTCGAGATATACAAACTATACGTGTTCTGCTGGGTATCCGATTTATTTCAAATGATTCACTTAAAACGCGGAAATTGCAGTATGTTCATTGATTCGCATCACGATCTTAATCATAATAATAATAATAATAATAATAGTATATTCTCATTTTGTACATGAGAGACGCCAGTTTACAGGCATCATCAATATGATAAATTACATATACGATTAGCAATCATAATTAATAATAATGTTTTAATAAAATACACATTTTTTCCTACTTGTGTAGGACACACCAAATATACAGGCATGGATAAGCATTATATAAATTTCATAAATTTGGTTTATGGTCAAGTTACATGGTTGCTGGCGTTTTTGTCTTAGGTCTGTGGGAACAATATATAACCAGTCATTCAATGGAGCACGTCATGAAATATAGGAATATTGACTTCGCATTAACAAAAAAACCCAAGTAAGTTTTGGATGGATTAAAAATACTTGGGAAAAAATAAAGCTTGAAGTTATTCCACAATATAACAAGTCATTCAATGGAGCACATCATGAAATATCGGAATATTGTCTTCGCATTAACAAAAAAACCCAAGTAAGTTTTGGATGGATTAAAAATACTTGGGAAAAAATAAAGCTTGAAGTAATTCCTCAATATAACTTGGGTGTGTACAAATCCGAATCTTATTTTTGATTTGATTTATATCCAAATTGGGTAATAAGGAAGCTATTTTTACAGATACGATCAGTTATGTTATAAGCTACAATCGTGACGTTGTATTACAAATAGATACTTTTCCATTGGTATAAGAGTATATTCCACAAATGTAATCCAGGTTGCGTCGTGGAGAAAGTTAATTCGTTATTAACCAGGCAACTGAAAGATACTGGACCAATAATGTTTGCAGATCATTTGTCATTGTAAATGGTCAAATATCCACATTATTCATTCTCATTCAAAAAGTCAAATGGAAGCTGAAATGGTGAGAGAAAAAAAGAAGACAAACAACAGCAACGCAAAAGAAAGCAACGGGAGTCCTTAAGGAGTGATTATTAGATATATACATATATATTCTGTTTAGTAACTGTGGTTATTTTGGTACACAAACTAACTAGTCCCGTTATGCTAACTTTTATATTATGTGTAAACTAATATTATTACTGTCCTGTGTAGAAATGTTAATCATCTAGTTCCAATAATATTAAAATTTATAATTGTAGTTTGTTGTAACTACACGTTTAAAGAACTTAAAATATCTATGTAGGGTGAAAAAGAGGGTGCAAGAGTCAGACGTAGAAGTGCATTGTCATCTTTGAGCAGTCTGGTGACTGAGGAAATGAACACATGTAGTGTGTTTGCATCGCGCACATTAGCTGGTAGTCTATTCCGATTGACTGAAGACTTATTTAAGAAGAAGTTGTACCGCACGTAAGTCTGACAGTGCTCAATAGCAGCTAGGTTGTGATGATTTCCAAGATTGTAACTATTAACAGTGATAGGTTTAGGTATTGGCTCGGAGGAATGCAAGAGAAAATTTGTTAGCTTATAGTAAAAGATAAGGTTGAGCTTAAGACGTCTTTTCCAGAGTGGTTCTAATCTTAGTCTATTGCATCGCTAATGGTATTCCAGACCACTTTCTAAACCAAGAGTTCTTGAGGTTAACTGCCGTCTCACTCCCTCTAATTTAAGCTTGTCATTTCGTCTGAGTTCGCTAAGAATAAACGGGCAGTATTCTAAGATAGGTCGGACACATACTTTGTATAATATAACCCTAGTTTCACAACAAAAGAAATTGCGCGTTATGCATCCTATCAGCCTTCGTGTTTTACGTCTGGCATAATCAGTCTGTTCAGAGAACGTTAGGTTACTAGAGTATCTAATACCGAGATCTACGACTGAGTTGAGCTTAGCTAGTTTTGGCCCATTTATTTCAAGAGTTAGATCAAGGTAACTGTTGCCGATACAAATCCAGCCGTATTTGTCAATGTTAAAATTTGGACAGGATTCAGCACACCATGTTGCGAGACTACTTAGTTCAAGATGTATTTTAGTAACCATATCGCTTAATTCATGAGTGTAGCAGGAGTGAGTAGACGACTTTGAGGTCGTCAGCATATAGGAATGGTTTACCCAAGATGAAGCACTTGCAAATGCTGTTAATGTAGACTGTGAATAAAAGTGGACCTAGGACACTACCTTGCACAACCCCACTTGAGATCTGCCTAGGATGAGACAATACGGATCCAACTTTGGTTATTTGTACCCTGTAGCTTAGAAATTATTTTAACCAGTTCAGTAATGGGTTGAGAATTCCACAAGAGTACAGCTTCTCAAAGAGAATACTGTGATTTATATATGGTGTCTTCTTCATCGACATTCCCAGTTCAATATTATCACTTCAGATTGTTGAAACAGTGTTAAATTCTCACTTTTCGGTAGGAGCTGGTTTCTTCCTCTTGATGCATTTTGGGTGCATCTAGTGTAAAGACTATCCTTTAAGTCATACATACCAAAACGAAAATATTCTAATTAATATTTGCACAAAGTGATGGGGAGTCTTTCATTCTCAAATATTCTATATTCGTAACAATTTGAGTGTTTTATTTACATACGATGATACATGTTATTGCGAAAAGGCATTTTAACCCACTTTGATGATTACATTCAGCAGAATGATTTAGTGATTTTCGAGATATACAAACTATACGTGTTCTGCTGGGTATCCGATTTATTTCAAATGATTCACTTAAAACGCGGAAATTGCAGTATGTTCATTGATTCGCATCACGATCTTAATCAGAAAACATCTTGAGTCACTAAGTTGTATACTCTTCTGGACCCTATCTAGAGATATATGATTTATCGACAAGTGCCACCCCAACACATTTGTCTTTAAACCTACTGTGCGACGTCGTGGTTTGGCTGCCTTTCCCAACAATTGACTCAGGGCGACAAACACGTGGTGGATGCATCCATGAACTGAATGTGGACCGAGTTTGCTCCTTGCAAACTTATTTTAAATGCATCTTACGAAGGTGTGAAGTACAACAACAGTTGGTGTTTTTCACGAAGAAGTGTGATTTAGAACAATGTATATTGGCTTTGTAAGCTAACTAAATTATTTTCCAAAGTCTGCAGTTAGTATCATGATGTGCCTGGTATTTAGTTGAGGTCGTTCAGCTGCTGAAATAACTTTTTATTCATTTCGTTCGACCTGCAATCCATGGGTGTACAGTCAGATAACAAAAACAACTCTTTTCTGACTAGGTGTTTCTTACCCTAGGATAACGACCTAAAAGCAAATAAACGTTTACTAATGGTAATCCGGTGGCGTAGTGTAGCATCTATTCTAGCATTTATTGCCACATTGACACCAGACAACTCGAGTAGTGACGCTACGACTCAAAACAGTACATACAGGCTAAGATTTTAAGTGATAACCAACGGCTGATAAAAGTAGAGATAATACCGAAGGCCAAAATGATGAAGAGAATATGAGACTATTCGTTCATGAGAATAACAATCAAATGCATTGTTGTTGAATACCTGATTCATGAAATCAACATGAGTGGTGAATTTTGAGTGTATAGTCTAGTTGGGTGTAGTGTAGCTGAGTTCTCTGAGCTGCACAGTTGAGTCGTAAGGCCCTCGTTGTCTTCCTATATAGCATCTTCAGTGCTAACTTTAGGATGAGGTGACTGGAATTCTCCTTAGATGTGATAACTGTCTCAATGAACTTGAGGACTCGCAGATATAGGGATAGCATTGATTTTTAGGGCAGGAAAATCACTTCTTGACTGTATCCCAGTAGATGGTCGTATGTGTGCTGTCCGCCTAAAAAAGGTATGTTAGAGGAAAGAAGGACGGCGTTACCTATCACTGTCTTTTCATAGTCTCCGCTTACTCCCCAACCGACCGCAGTTCAGGTGAACTAAACGGTGACTTCTACCTGAAATTGTTTAATTTGATGCAAAAAGCAAAACACCCAGAAATAATTGTTTTGGCAGGCAACTTCAATGCCCAAGTAGGAAAGTTGTGCCAGACTGGGAAGTACATACGTGGTACGTATGGAGTACTCTGCAGACAAACGGACCACGGTGGTCGTCTTCTACAGTTCTGTTCAGATAATCATCTGTTTCTAGTCAGCACTAACTTTAAGCACAAAGAGAGACATGCCTAACCTGGCGACCTCCACCACCAAATCAACGATAGTCTCAAACAGACCACATAGTTGTAGGGTATCGTTGGCGAGAATCAGTAGATGACTGTCACTCCTTCTGGAACACTTGCGTAAACGCCGATCACTCCATGTTTCGCGCACGTTTATGCTTACAATTAAACGGAAATAAAAGCTGCTAGCAGCGAAGCAGTTATGTCCCCAACTAGATCGAGACTCTGAGTCCCTATTTAGCGAAGAAATAACGAAATAGGTATCTGAAACGGAAAACAAGATTCCCCCTAAGAGAACATAGCACAACAAACAGCTAACTATAGACACAACTGTTGAGGTTTTGAATAACTTAAAACCATAAGTTAGTAAGAGCCATTGGATTTCTACTACCTAATCCGAACTGATTGACGCAAGTAGACTGATTCCGGCTAGCTCGGATTATTATGAGGAGCGAAAGCTACTCAAACGAAAACTAACAAGAAGCCTCCGTAACAAACGTGAACAGTGGTGGGAGACAAAAGCAAAAGAGATGAAAAAGGCATCGGCGATTGGTAATATCAGACAACTACTTAGGCTTATTAGGGAAACAGATGGTGAAAGGCAGATGATAAGTGAAACAATCTCTGAAAGAAATGGCGCCATGTTTAGTTCCCAGGATAGACAACTAGAACGTTGGAACGAACACTTTGAGAGACAATTCAGTTGGCCTACAGCCACGGTCAACCCACCAAACATCCAAAGCCTCCCTGAATGGGATAAAGACAGGCCCTCCGTCCCTAACTGTGGTTACTAAAGCTGTCACTAATCTGAAACGAAGCAAAGCTGCGGCACCTGATTGAATGGCTCGAGAGGTGTTCAACGGAGTTGAGACAGTGTAGTGTCTGCGTTAACTGAGTAACCAGACAGCATCTGGGAATCAAAGGAAGTCCCGTCAGGTTGGTGTAAGTCACTGATCAATTCGACATAAAATAAGGGAGACAACTCTTCCTGTGATAATCACAGAGGGATTAGCTTGACTGATATAGTATCTAAAGTCTTAGGCTCAATAATAATGCGTAGACTAAGTGGTGCTCAAGAGGCACAAACACGAGAGAACCAGGTAGGCTTTAGGCCAGGAAGAGGATGTATTGATCGTATCCTCACCCTTCGACAGATTCTAGAACATAGGTATACTAAACGACGTACAACAGTAGTCAGATTCCTTGAGCTGAAAGCGTCATTTGGTTTTGTCGACCGAGAGGTACTATGGCAATGTTTGGCTGTGGAGGGAATGACGAGAAAATACATCCCACTGATCAAGCCACTCTACTGGAACTCATGCAGTCAGCGAGGTGAGATTCTTTGTCTGAAGTGGTGAGAACCAAGCTGCACAAAAGGAAACTTACTAAAAGTCTCCACAAGGACCGTAAACAGTGGTGGCTGACAAAGGCAAAAGAGATGGAAAAAGCATCGGCGATAGGCAACTCTTTAGACTCATCAGGGAAACGGGTGGGAGAAGGCAAATCATAAGTGAGACTATTTCTGAGAAAAATGGCTCCTTAATTAGCTCTCAGGATAGACGCCTTGAACGCTGGAAAGAACACTTTGAGGGACAATTTAACTTGCCTACAGCCACACTGAACCTCCCCGACATCCAGAACACACCCGAATGGGATATAGACACTGGTCCGCCGTCTGTAAGTGAAGTCACAAAGCTATCAGTAATTTGAAACGAGGCAAAGCGGCAGGACCCGACGGAATTATTCCGGAGGTGTTTAAATATGGGGGTGACATACTAGTTTGTAGATTAACTGAGGTACTAGGCAAAGTCTGGGAATCAGAGACAGTGCCATCAGACTGGGGTAAGTCACTTATCATACCGATATTCCAGAAGGGAAACAAGTCCTCGTGTGATAATCATAGGGGGATCAGCCTAACGAACATAGTCTCTAAAATCCTAGGCTCAGTAATCATGCATAGACTAAGCAGAACTCGGGAGGAACAGACAAGGGAAAATCAAGCAGGCTTTAGACCAGGTAGAGGGTGCATAGATCATATCTTCACTCTTCGACAGA